ACGTGTAAGTCCCGAAATGGGGGCTGAGCTTACAGTTCCCATAGCGTTCGTGCGGTTGATTCAAATAAAGTGCCCATCAACTAGGGAGGTAAATTGGCCATAATTAACAGTCAGGGTGGCCTGTTAAGGCAGGTAAGCATGGTGAATGCTTACAAAAATACCGAACGGCTGTATAATCCATTTGTCTTTTGCAGGCATTCTGGGCTTGTTGTTACACCCATTCCTCAGCATCCCATGGTTGGAGCATGAGATGAAACAAGTCAAGAAGACTGGGTTTGGATGACATCATGAGACAGGAAAACCCAGTGACAACCAAAGAATACATATAGTTAACCCCAGGGGCGGACTGAGAGCCTTTGGGGCCCCCTGGCAAAATTAGATCCCAGGCCCTCTGAAGGCCAAATATATGTGCATTAAATAAATGTTAAATATAATTCATAATACGGCATTCCTTTGGATGTGTGTATTGTGAAGACCTGTGTATCAATGCATGTTTGTATTTGAGTCTGTGTGAATGCACTTGTGCATGTCTGGATGACTAAATGTGCTTTTTTGTATATAGGGTCAGTGTGAATGCATATGACAAGTGACAGAGTGTGTGAGGGAGAAGGTGACAGGTGGAAGAGTGTGGGAGGTTGTGACAGGTGGTAGAGTGAGGGAGGAGTTGAGTGGTGGCAGAGTGAGGGGGAGACAGTGAGTGGGTGTGACTGGTGACAGAGTGAGGGAGTGGGTGACTAGTGACAGAGGGAGGGAGATAGGGGTGACTAGTGACAGAGTGAGGGAATGGGTGACTAGTGGCAGAGTGAGGGAGGGAAGAGATGACTAGTGGCAAAGTGAGGGAGGGAAGGGGTGACTAGTGACAGAGTGAGGGGATGACTGGTGACAGAGTGAGGGGGGTGACTGTCACTAGTCACCCCATCCCTCTCTCTGTCACTAGTCACTCCCTCCCTAACTCTGTCACTGTGTCACCCGCTCCCTCACTCTGTCACTGTGTCACCCGCTCCCTCTCTCTGTCACTAGTCACCCCATCCCTCTCTCTGTCACTAGTCACCCCATCCCTCTCTCTGTCACTAGTCACCCCATCCCTCTCTCTGTCACTGTGAAGGAAGGAAGGGGTGACTGGTGACAGAGTGAGGGAAGGGATGACTAGTGGCAGAGTGAGGGAAGGAAGGGATGACTGGTGACAGAGTGAGAGAGGGGGTGACTAGTGACAGAGTGAAAGAGGGGGTGACTGTCACTAGTTTCCCCATCCCTCACTCTGTCACTAGTCACCCCCTCTCTCACTCTGTCACTAGTCACCCCCTTCCCTCTCTCTGTCACTCCCTCACTCTGTCACTAAGGACAGAGGGGGTGTTTAGTGACAGAGTTAGGAGGGAGTGACTAGTGATAGAGAGAGGGATGGGGTGACTAGTGACAGTCACCCCCTCCCTCACTCTGTCACTAGTCACCCCCTCTCTCACTCTGTCACTAGTCACCCCCTTCCCTCTCTCTGTCACTCCCTCACTCTGTCACTAGAGTGAGGGAAGGGGTGACTAGTGGCAGAGTGAGGGAAGGAAGGGGTGACTAGTGACAAAGTGAGGGAGGTGGTGACTGTCACTAGTCACCACCTCCCTCTGTCACTAGTCACCACCTCCCTCTGTCACTACTCCCTCCCTCACTCTGTCACCTGTCACCCCCTCCCTCACTCTGTCACCTGTCACCCCCTCACTCTGTCACTAGTCACCCCCTTACTCTGTCACCTGTCACCCCCTTACTCTGTCACCTGTCACCCCCTCACTCTGTCACTAGTCACCCCCTTACTCTGTCATTAGTCACCCCCTCACTCTAGTGACAGAGTGAGGGACGGGGTGACTAGTGACAGAGTGAGAGAGAGGGTGTCACAGTGACAGAGTGAGGGAGGGGGTGACTAGTGACAGAGTGAAGGAGGTGGTGACTGTCACTAGTCACACCCTTCCCTCCCTCACTCTGTCACTAGTCACCACCTCCTTCTGTCACTACTCCCTCCCTCCTTCTGTCACTAGTCACCCCCTCCCTCACTGTGTCACTAGTCACCCCCTCACTCTGTCACTAGTCACCCCCTCACTCTAGTGACAGAGTGAGGGACGGGGTGACTAGAGACAGAGTGAGAGAGAGGGTGACTAGTGACAGAGTGAGAGAGAGGGTGACTAGTGACAGAGTGAGGAAGGGGGTGACACAGTGACAGAGTGAGGGAGGGGGTGACTAGTGACAGAGTGAAGGAGGTGGTGACTGTCACTAGTCACCCCCTTCCCTCCCTCACTCTGTCACTAGTCACCCCTTCCTCACTTTGTCACTAGTCACCCCTTCCCTCCCTAACTCTGTCACTAGTCACCACTTCCCTCCCTCACTCTGTCACTAGTCACCCCCTCCCTCATTGTCACTAGAGTGAGGGGGTGACTAGTGACAGAGTGAGGGAGGTGGTGACTGTCACTAGTCATTACCTCCCTCCCTCTGTCACTAGTCACCACCTCCCTCTGTCACTACTCAATCCCTCCTTCTGTCACTAGTCACCCCCTTTGTCCCTTACTCTGTCACTAGTCACCCCCTAACTCACTCTATCACTAGTCATCTCCCTCTCTCACTCTGTCACAAGTCATCTGCTCACTCTGTCACCAGTCACCCCTTCCTTCCCTCACTCTGCCACTAGTCACCCCTTCCCTCACTCTGTCACCAGTCATCTCCTCACTCTAGTGACAGAGTGAGGGAGGGTGTGAGTAGTGACAGAGTGAGGGAGAGGGTGACTAGTGACAGAGTGAGGGGATGATTAGTGACAGAGTGAGGGAGGGAATGGGTGACCAGTGACAGAGTGAGGGGGGGTGACTAGTGAGGGAGGGGGTGACTAGTGACAGAATGAGGGAGGGGGTGACTAGTGACAGAGGGAGGGAGATGGTGACTGTCACTAGTCACCCCATCCCTCCCTCTGTCACTAGTCACTCCCTCCCTAACTCTGTCACTAGTCATCCCCTCCCTCACTCTGTCACCAGTCACCCCATCCCTCCCTCTGTCACTGTGTCACCCCATCCCGCCCTCTGTCACTAGTCACTCCCTCCCTAACTAGTCACCCCCTCCCTCTGTCACTAGTCACACTCTCCCTCACTCTGTCACTAGAGTGAGTGGGTGACTAGTGACAGAGTGAGGGAGGGGATGACAAGTGACAGAGGGAGGGGGTGACTAGTGACAGAGCGAGGGAGTGACTAGTGACAAAGTGAGGGAGGGAAGGGGTGACTAGCGACAAAGTGAGTGAGGGAAGGGATGACTAGTGACACAGTGGGGGGGTGACTAGTGACAGTGAGGGGGGGTGACTAGTGACAGTGAGGGGGGTGACTAGTGACACAGTGAGGAGGTGACTGGTGACAGTGGGGGTGACTAGTGACACAGTAGAGGACGTAAGGACTAGTGACAGTGGGGGGGTGATCAGTGACAGTGGGGTGTCTGTGAGAGTGGAGGGGGGGGGTGGACTGGTGACAGTGGGGGGGTGGACTATGACAGTGAGGGGGTGACTGGTGACAGTGAGGGGGGGGTGGACTGGTGACAGTGAGGGGGGGGGGTGACTGGTGACAGTGAGGGGGGTGGGACTAGTGACAGTGAGGGGGGTGACAGTGAGGATGGGGTGACTAGGTGACAGTGGGGGGGATCTAGTGACAGTGAGGGGTGACTGTGACAGGAGGGGGGGTGACTGTGACAGTGAGGGGGTGACTGGTGACAGTGGAGGGGTGGGGTGACTGGTGACAGTGAGGGGGGGTGACTGGTGACAGTGAGGGGGGGTGACTGGTGACAGTGGAGGGGGGTGACTAGGCGTGACAGTGGAGGGGGGGTGACAGTGAGGGTGGGTGACTAGTGACAGTGAGGGGGGTGATACAGCAGGGTGGGTGACCAGTATTGGTGAGGGGGTGACTGGTGACAGGAAGGGGGGTGACTGGTGACAGTGGAGGGGGGGGGGTGACTGGTGACAGGAGGGGGGGGGGGTGGATCAGTGACAGTGAGGGGGGGGTGGACAGTGAGGGTGGGTGACTAGTGACAGTGGGGGGTGACTAGTGACAAGTGGGAGGGGGGGGTGATTGAGATAGTGAGGGGGTGAGCAGTGAGGGTGGGGCACTAGTGACAGTGGGGGGGTGACTAGTGACAGTGGGGGGGTGACTAGTGACAGTGGGGGGGTGACTAGTGACAGTGAGGGGGGGTGATTGGTGCCTACCTGTCTCTCTGCTTCCTCTCCCAGGCTGCAGCTCCTTCCCCTCCTGGCTCTGTGTGAAAGGAGTAAACAGGAAATGAGGTCACTTCCTGGCCCCGCCTCTCCCATCACACAGAGCCGCGGAGACCTGGCAGAGAGCAGGTGAAGCTGCCAGGTCTCATGGGGGGGGGGTGTGAATAGCAGAGCGGTAGGTTGTGGGGGCCCCGCGCTGCATCAGGGGCCCCACAACCTATCAATGAAAAAGTTTTATTTTATTATTTTGCTGTTCCAGTTGGAGAGATCTCTGATCTCTCCAGCTGGAACAAGGCTGTGCTGCCGGGCCCCTGACTGCCTCGGGCCCTCGGTCCGTGACCGATATGCCCGAGTGGTCAGTCCGCCCCTGCATAGGTTAGGCCTTGTATGTTTCTCGAGGTCATGTTCCTTTGCCATTTTGAGAGCCGTAGATGGGGCCCGTGGGTTTTGGTGGGGTGAACTCAGATC